CTACGTATTACGCTGACGGCTACGTATTACGCTCTATGTAGAATTAAATGGCCGGTCTAATATGGCCAGAATATATATATATATATATATATATACATACATATACAGAGAGAGAGAGAGATGCCATCCGATTTGTAAAGGCTACCCGATTAAAATTTGTGTCATCCGATTTGTAACGGCAACAAATTTGTTACAAATCGGATGACACCCAGGCTAATCACACGCTCTACGAACAAGGGCATGCGGGCCCCCCTATATAAAGATAAGCGAAAGGTCAATGCTCCAGCGTTGGTGTTGTCAACTTGCCAGGCTCAGGGGTTTCCAAGAAACCAACACAGAGGGGGAATGAAGTTTATAGGATCGACCCAGTTTTCTTGCAGGGTTGTTGCATCGGCTTGTAGCTTGTCGCCTCCATCAGGCCTTCGTAAAGGCGCGGTCACATTTCTCACCCCGGGGTCCGACCGGGCATGTATGATATAAGGCCATATAAGACAGAAAACAACCCGGCCGGGCCCCGGCTTGGAAATGTGACCGTGCCATCAGGGATAGTAGAATTCGGCTAAAATTGCATGGGGGAGTGAGACCCGATAGCCGGCAATGATCGCGTTTGTTTGTTCATTTGTCGTTTGCAAGGACGACCCCAGAGCATGTTTTTTTGCCTTCCTGTAGACGTGTACATTGTTTGCCGCACAGTTCCCATGGCGGCGTACGAACCTCGCGCGGTGCGGGGACTGGGCTGGACCCTGGTCGTCCTGGGATGTCTCAGCGTGACGCTAGGGGTCGCTGCTGACATCACCTTCGCCGTCCATGACGTCGGCACCCTGGGACACTACATCAGCGCACCTGTCTGGAGCGGGCTGCTGGTGGGTCTGACCTTTAACCTTAACCCTAAAACTTGACCTTAAACACTGACCTCTCACCTTTAACTTCTTCCCATGAAAGCGTAAACATTTGACCTTTGAACTTGGCCTTATAAAATAAAATGTGCATATATTTTACTCTCAAACTTGACCTTTAACTGGTTCCTATGAAATAAACGTGCAGATATTTGACCCTTAACATTAACCTTGACCTTTAACCTTTGACTTCTTCCTATGAAAGAAAACGTACAGTCCACATTTGAACCTTGACATTCTCATCGCTCTGGTTGCTGTGTGTTGTCTCCCTCTAACCTTTAATCTGAACCTTGACCCGAACCTTTAACCTTTGACCTTTCAACTTCAATGACTTCTTTTATTTGTGTCCGCAGGTGCTAACGACAGGAATTCTGGGTATTTTCAGCGCTAAGAAACCAACAAATAAATGTCTGGTAAGTATAAAATCTTTGTATAATACAACCGAGAATATTATTTATTGTATTGATGTATGAATATAGGGTAATTTGAGGTCATCTAAACCATTCAGGGCCATTCAGGTTTTATTACCTCCATGAAAAATGGAGGTATTGTTTTTGGCGCGTCTGTGTGTGTGTGTGTATGTATGTGTGTATGTATGTATGTGTGTGTGTGTTTCCGCACATTTGTAGTCAGCATAACTTCAGAACGCCTTTATGGATTGTGATGATATTTGGTATGCTGGTAGGTCTTAGGAAGCCAAAGGTCAAGTTCAAATATGGGCCTCCTGGTGGCTGACTTTGGTACTGCTGCAGAACTTCCGGGAAAACAGATGTGCGGGGTGGCAGGGAAAACAGATGTGCGGGGTGGAGGCAGCGCCTGCCCGGTTTGATTAATGAGGTTCTCCCTCTGGAATAGCCTATATGACCATACTTAGGCGTTTGAAAACAAAAACCTGTGTTATTTTGTTCTGTACTGTAGTGTACTGTATAAAAAACATTTAGAAAAACTCATATATTTCATGGAGGTATGAGATCTCCGAATTCTTGCTATGTCTTATTCCCCCTCCACAGATTGTAGCGTTCATGGTGGTCGGCATATTCGTGATCCTGGCGTGTGTTTGCTGCATCGCCATCGCGGCTCTGGGCGTTGTGCTGAACCATTACGTACACAGCTGTAGACAGTACGACTGGGAAGGTTACTACGCCGCTCAGGATCTCCACGATAGCAACCCTGACCTGTTCCACGAGCCAGAGGTTTGGTACGGAGTCATGATTACTTTTGGGGCATGGAAGTATTGTTTTGGGTGGCTGAGTTGTAGGTTTGTGTGTCTGTGTGTCCGGACAGCACGTAGTACTACGCCGCTCAGGATCTCCACGATAGCAACCCTGACCTGTTCCAAGAGCCTGAGGTCTGGTACGTTAGGCCATGTTGATTTGATTATATGCATGACATCCTCTGGGAACCCCAAAACTGATGCGCGCGTGCGAATAAAAAAAAAGTTTTGCAAAAAAAAAAGTTGCTTTCATTATGAAATCTGCGTGGTCATGAAGGTTGAAAAAATGACACAGAGTATGGTTTGGTGAATAATCTACTCTTTAAATTAATTTCTCTTTACATTTTCGTCTTTTTTGTTTGATTTTGGCATTTTGCGACGTTGGTATCATTTTTGAATATTCTTTTTGCATCTTGCGGTATATATTTGCTCATTTTGCAACTGTTTTGTACGATTTACAGTATGGTTGAAAACTTTTTTTTTTTGGAAACGGCCGAAAATTCATACGCGCGCGGATGTCATCCATATAATCAAATCAACATGGCCTTAATGATAATTACTTCGTTGAGGGTATACGAAGACATAGTAGCTCTGGGCATTGTGCTGAACCAATATGTGGGCAGCTGTAGGCAGCACGACTGGGAGGGTTACTACAACGCTCAGGATCTCCACGATAGCAACCCAGGCCGGTACTACCAGCCAGAGGTTTGGTAAGGAAAATTAATGGTAATTATTATTTAATACTGGTAACTGTTACTGCTGGGGGACAGAAGTATTGTTTTGGGTGGCTGAGTTGTAGGTTTCTGTGTGTGTCTGGACTAGCCTGGGTGCCAGCCGAATTCGTAACGGCTCCCCAGAAAAAATCGGGGGAGCCGTTACAAATTCGGATGGCACCCAGGCTATGTCTGGACAGAGTGGGCAAAGTATTGTTTTGGGTGGCTGAGTTGTATGTTTGTGTATATTGTGTGTGTGTGTCTGTGTGGACAGAGTACCGGAGAAGTGTTGCAAATGTTGCCCTTCTATCGACTGGATATTTTCACAAGTATGACTTGAAATTTTCCGTGCAGGCACTACAAGACGTACGACTGTAGACCGGCTGCCATCGGCCTCCATGCGGCTAACATCTTCCTGGCTGTTCTGGAACTCATCCTGGGGTTTGTGGTCTCCATTCTCAGCTGCTGTGGACTGTGCACGATGCGCCGCCCGGTGGCACAGGTGGGTACTGCAGATGGAACTGCATATCGAACATTAGTCAGTACATGTTTAGAGTTAAAACCTTTCCAACACAAAGCAGTTCTCTCACCTAGAGTTTTCAACCAGTCACTCTGGTCTTTGATCCATTGTTGATGTCGCACTTAAAAGAAGCCACGTGACAAGCCTCACTGGGTCAGTCTACTGAGGAAGACCAGAGTGACTGGTCAAAAGCTCTAGGTGAGGGAACTTCTTTGTGTTGATCATAAGTTTTAACTGTAAACATGTAACTACCAACTTTCCAGATAGTATTAGTATATATGTCTATGAAGGTTAGACATCCACGTAAGGGGGTACAAGAAACAGTTACTCGAGCAACTGGATAGATTTTGATAACCGTACCCAAACTTTAAAATGTACAGTTTTAGGGTTGCCCTACTTCTACTAGTCCTTTTTTCGATGTGAAACAAAGTTCTAATTACTAGTAGCCTCCTGTGTAGGCCTCCGAGTGGGTGGGCATTTTGGTACTGTCATGCAGAATTGGCCAACACGTCAACAATTCTACGAAACCCAGTACTTGCATTTCAATGTTTCATGTACATGTAGTACTACTACATGTTTACAGTCTTCTCCCTCACGTGTTTGTTTGTTTGTTTGTTTGTTTGTTTGTTTGTTTTTCAGACAGTGATCTACACTGCAGGTCCAGTTCCAGGCGGAGCACAGGGAAACATTGTGGTCATGCAGGGCACTCCAGGTTGGTATTAGACCGAGTTGACCGAGTTGACCGAGTTGACCGAGTTGACCAGGGTAGTTGACCGAGTTGACCGAGTTGACCAGGGTAGTTGACCGAGTTGACCGAGTTGACCGAGTTGACCAGGGTAGTGGACCGAGTTGACCGAGTTGACCGAGTTGACCGAGTTGACCGAGTTGACCGAGTTGACCAGGGTAGTGGACTGAGTTGACCGAGTTGACCGAGTTGACCGAGTTGACCAGGGTAGTGGACCGAGTTGACCGAGTTGACTGAGTTGACCGAGTTGACCGAGTTGACCAGGGTAGTGGACGGAGTTGACCAGGGTACTAGCTTTATGTCATACCTGGGCCGGCTGCTATATAACGGTCAATGCCGGTGTTCTGGCCAGTGTCAGAACTATTGGTATGGCCTGGAGTTCTATTTGGTTATACTGCGGGCTTTCAAATGTTCCATAGAATCATTTGAAGTGCACCGTTTACGATAGCCTGATTGTCAGCCTTGTTAATTAACTTTAGTCCGAGCAAAGCAAATTCATAATGTTTACCTTCGGACATGGTCTGCTCTGTTAATTCTTACTCAAACACATTGACATACATGTACTACTAGTATATGGTGACAGGAGCAGAACAGACCTTGATATTGCAACATTATGTAACCCAACACCAGTCACCATGGTGACAGACGTCAACAAATCATGTCATTGGCCAGGTCAGAGGTCACTGAGAAGAAGAAGAGGAAGAAACTGAGCAAAAACAATACGTTTTCCTTCGGTAAACATAATAACCCACTGCCCCTACAGCCTATATCAAAAGCTTTGGGATCTTTACTTTACCTTTATCCAAAGAAAAAATTAAAACTTTCTTAAATGTATTTTCCGCAGGTGTGCAGGGCAGCCAGCCGCAGATGTTCGTTGCGCAGAACCCAGGTGCTGCAGGTGCACCTGTGCAGGTGTTCTACCCCGCCCAGCAGGTGCCACCTGCCTACCAGGTGGATCCAGGTGCGGCATCAGGTGCTCAGGAGGAGAAGAAAAGCCCCATACCTGTTGGCTCCATGTAAAAAACAGAAACATCATCACGAAGTGCAAGGACTTTATTTTATTTCAATTCAATTGTAACGAGACAATACATTGGACACCCATGCAGCATAGCTGATTTCGGGTGCCAAAGACATACAAAAAGTAAACGTACATAATATAATATACAAATACTGTGTACTAACAAGTACGGTATATAGCGTCATAGCTACAAGACCAGCCAAGACTACATACGGAATACAGACAATTGTAACTTGACCTGAATGCTAGTAGTTGGAGAGTCAGACGCTCAGGAGGAGAAGAAAGCTCCCATACCTGCTCGTTCCGTGTGAAAAAAAATATGGTTACTACTACCTAGACCTAGTAGTGTTCGTAGTCCAGTGGTCAGTACCCCTGCTTCTGGACTAGGAGGTTGGGAGTTCGAATCCCGGCTGTTGTCGCTCACCCCCGACATGCACGCTACTGGAAAGGGTCCTTAGGACGGGACGTTAAGCCATGGTCTACTGTTCATCGTACTAAGTCGAAGAAAGGTCCGATACCTGCTGGTTCCATGTGAAAAATAAAAACATCATCACAAAGTGCTAGTATGTAGCATCATCGTGGGATCTTGTGCCCTTGGGAGAGGCACTTTACACGACTTTCCCCACTAGACTCAAGTGAAAATCAGTATTGTCTGTCAGCAACAGCAACAGCTGCCTCTGTCCCGAGTGTATTGTATTGTTGCAATTTCAATAAAATAAACTTTGAAAAGAAAATTTAAAAAAAATAATAATCATAGCTACAAGACCAGTCATGCCAGCAAGAATACGTATGGAATACAGACAATTGGAACTTTTACCTGAATGCTTAAGTAGTTGGAGAGTCTCTTTTGTTCTAATGTCCCACAATGTAGAAAATTTTGTTATGTTTCATGTATTGAATTTTGCAGGCCCTTTATGTTATGGCTCTCTCTCTCTCTCTCTCTCTCTCTCCATGTATATATTATATATTATACATATATGTAATATTAAACATATTGTGAATAAAACAAAAAAAATCTTAACGTAAATTGCAGCATATTAATTTGTTGTGTTTCTCTATTGCACCCTACTAGCAGTAGTATAATTTTTACTTTTTACTTCTCTTTCTATATTAAGATATTGTGAATAAAACCAACCAACCCATGGCCATGCTATACTTTACCGGAAATTTCAGTATGATACCATGTTTCTTTAGTGCACCCTACTATAATTTTACCGTGTCTAAGTGGTGATTATAAGACAAAAAACTGTTCTGCTACATTAAACCGATAATCAGGAGTCACCGTTTGACCCTTGACCTTAGAATGCTTCCGGGTCATCAGATCTCAACTTCCTTTTCCGTCTGCACTTCACAACCGCGAATTTCAAGAGAGAGACTGCCGCTTTCCTACTCGAACAACTCGAACAAGCTGCTATCGTTGTTCAGGTAAGATTACTCAGCGTTCAGTGGGTTGCATTTGGAGCATAAAGGCTTTGTAAAATTGGTATAAAAAATATACTTGTAGAAGATTCAGATGACGCTGTGGAGCGCTGTTAACTTATAACAAGGACATTCTACATAACTCCTTGCTTGTGTAACGATAAACTTTAAATGTTTATGACGGAATATCGTCTGTGGCTGTTGACGAAAGTACACCAAAGCTTGGAGGAGGAATTTTGACAAATATTGGCGTGTAATTTTGCTGTTTTCTGCACCGCCGAAAATGGCGGGAAATTCGTCACATGGAGGAATGTTCTCAGTAGGCTCTCTAGGGGTTTACGAAGAAACTTTATGAAATAAGACTTAAGAGTTTAGGAGTTGTAACTGCAATATATTCTAAAACAAGTTAAAATAAAATGCATTTCCAGTTTTGGAGTTATTTGTAGTGTTCATCTGTATTAAAAAATAAAAAAAGTATGCAGGACCCAGACAATTCATGTAAGGTATACTGCAAACCCCTCTTTCCGCCCCCGAGCCAAAATACTGTAGTTTCCGCCATTTTTTACCGGTAGCACATTTATTATTGAAAATCCTTTTCCGGAAATTTTGTGGAAATTTTATGTTAAGGTTTCTGCAGCTCGTTCCTACATGCAAGTTATTCGGATTAAAATTCAAAATTTACAGGTATAAAAATGCCACCAACTTACAATAGGGGCTCAATGTAAAAAATGTGATTCTGCCGTCTTTTGGGTTTTTAATGATGCTTCATTTTGTCTCTGCAGATTCTTTGCAACATGGAGAAATCCTACAGATGTGAGGAGTGCGGCAGGCAGTTCAGTCAGCTGGGTAATCTGAAGTCTCACATTAAAACTCACACTGGTGAGAAACCCTACAGGTGTGAGGAGTGCAGCAAGCAGTTCAGTCGGCAGGATAGTCTGAAGAATCACATGCGGACTCACACTTGTGAGAAACCCTACAGATGTGAGGAGTGCAGCAGGCAGTTCAGTCTACTGGGTAATCTGAAGACTCACATGAAAACTCACACTGGTGAGAAACCTTACAGATGTGAGGAGTGCAGCAGGCAGTTCAGTCGGCTGGATAGTCTGAAGAGTCACATGAAAACTCACACTGGTGAGAAACCCTACAGGTGTGAGGAGTGCAGCAGGCAGTTCAGTCAGCTGGGTCATCTGAAGTCTCACATTAAAACTCACACTGGTGAGAAGCCCTACATGTGTGAGGAGTGCGGCAGGCAGTTCAGTCGGCTGGGTCATCTGAAGTCCCACATGCGGATTCACACTGGTGAGAAACCCTACAGATGTGAGGAGTGCGGCAAGCAGTTCAGTCGGCTGGGTCATCTGAAGACCCACATGCGGACTCACACTGGGGAGAAACCCTACAGGTGTGAGGAGTGCAGCAAGCAGTTTAGTCAGCTGGTTAGTCTGGAGAGACACATAAAAACTCACACCGGTGAGAAACCCTACAGATGTGAGGAATGCAGCAAGCAGTTCAGTCGGCTGGTTAGTCTGGAGAGACACATAAGAACTCACACCGGTGAGAAACCCTACAGATGTGAGGAGTGTAGCAAGCATTTCAGTCGGCTGGGTCATCTGAAGTCTCACATGAAAACTCACACTGGTGAGAAACCCTACAGATGTGAGGAGTGCGGCAAGCAGTTCAGTCACCTGGGTGATTTAAAGGACCACATCAGAACTCACACTGGTGAGAAGCCCTACATGTGTGAGGAGTGCAGCAAGCAGTTTAGTCAGCTAGGTAGTCTGAAGAAACACATGCGGACTCACACTGGTGAGAAACCCTACAGATGTGAGGAGTGCAGCAGGCAGTTTAGTCAGCTGGGTAATCTGAAGTCTCACATGAAAACTCACACTGGTGAGAAACCCTACAGATGTGAGGAGTGCAGCAAGCAGTTTAGTCAGCTAGGTAATCTGAAGAAACACATGCGAACTCACACTGGGGAGAAACCCTACATGTGTGAGGAGTGCAGCAGGCAGTTTAGTCGGCTGGATAATCTGGAGAGACACATAAAAACTCACACTGGTAAAAAACCTTAAA